TCAAGTAATACGTGTTTAGCAATGGTGCCCGAGTGGTGTGCTCCCCGGACTGCAAGTAGGTGTTCGATCAACTGTGTAATAAGAGTGTTGTTTCTGTCTTTTTTGGGGTGGGGCGAACTTGATATGTTGAATGTGATAGCATTTTTTTTCTGGGGATATCTGTCCAAGAAAATATGTGGCACCATTTATCATTACAGTGCCGCTTGTAACTTTGATGTTGTATTTGCTGGTGCTGAGATTTCGAATGTCACCATATTTGTGGAAAGGAGAAAGGCTTTAAAGCACAGTGAAAGTAAAATATGTGGCAACAGAAGTTGAATGGGGCTCATCTGATGTGTGTGTGGGAAGTAGTTGCAGAGTTTTTAGTGACAGTAGTGGCTGCTGTTAAATGGCCTGTAACACCTTGTTGCTATCCACCTGACACAAAATAGGATGTTGGGGACCAATATTTCTCCAAGACACAGCATATTAATTGGCCCACAAAATGCAGCTCGTAGTTAGATCCACATAACTGTGTGTTCATAAGAGGGAACAGTACAACAATGCAATAATACAGACTGGTGTAAAACAAAGTGCTCAAATGCCACAATAAAAATAGTACAGATTTGAAGCTCCATTGTCAATAGGCATAGGAAACAGAATGAGGATAGACATTCGTAGCCTTTGGAGAAAGATTCCTCGTCACTAATGTGCGATGTACAGGAATATCAGTATGTTCGTCTTGCAGCGTCAAGTAATACGTGTTTAGCAATGGTGTGCTCCCCAGACTGCAAGTAGGTGTTCGATCAACTGTGTAATAAGAGTGTTGTTTCTGTCTTTTTTGGGGTGGGGCGAACTTGATATGTTGAATGTGATAGCATTTTTTTTCTGGTGATAGCTGCGGAGAAGCAGCTTGATTGATCCATGGGACTTTACTGAGGTTGAAGGCTGCGTCACCTGACCTGACTACTGGTTGCCAGGAAAAGAGTGGAGTATGTGCAGAAACACTTTGCTGGCTCTCTGATATGACAACAGGAAATCGGCTGTTATCATGAAGGACCTCATGTCTGCGAGAGATTGATCTCTGTCTCAACTTGACATGCGTTGTGTAAGTATACGAGAAATATGTTTATCAGATGATTTACACAATCGAATTCTTTGGCAAGATGACTAAATATTCCACCAACATGCACTTTATTATTTAGTGCATTTAAGATTTTATGTGTAAAATTGAACCGCTTTATCAGTTGAGAGATTTTTTCTATCACCAAATTGTTCACCTGCAAGGACGTTGTTTGAGATTAAGTTTATACATGTCTTTTTAAAATATTTTAGAGAATGCCGTTTGTAATGTAATTTGTCTATAAGTAGACATTCATTATTTTCAAACATGTTTTTCTCTGTTCTGATGGGGAAACTTGCTTGAAAATATTTTAAGAAGATATTTGGGATTGTGCTGAATTTTGAATCTGACTCCCAGTTTTCGTTATTTACGTGTGTCGTAAATTCTTTAATAGTGTCTGTATTTATAAGACCGAATCGTTTCCTGTAATTATGATAATTAGATATCGGTTCTATTTTTTTTATATATATATATAATTACAAGTTGAGCGTAATGCTCAGAGAGCACATTTTTTTTCTGGTTCAGTAGAAATATGATCTTTCCTGGAACTGTCTATAAAGGCATTATCAGTAGCAGTACTGGAGTAATTTTGAGATTAAAGGATGTTAGCAGGGAGTTGAGACATTGTTTGTGGTAGCTTTCGGCAAGACAAGTAACTTTAAAGTCACCAGAAGTGAAAAATTATTTTTATACTTTATTCTCATAACTTTGTAGTGAAAGTTTTTATTCCAGGTATGATATATCTATATATATTCATACAGGTTGTGACCAGTAGCTAAATTGTGAGTTTGTTAAGGATTTGAGATGATTTATTGTATATGTATACTTGCCACTCTGGTCAGATTTCTGAGTTATTCTTATAAACTTTCTGTGAAGCAAAGCAGCATCTTTCAAACACTTGCCCTCAATTTAGCAAGTGCCAGGATGAGGGAGTAACATTCATATGGCTACAAGAAAGAGTTTGGCTATTTATCTAACCTTATAAGCTTCAAGCATTATTCCCTTCCAGTATTTGAACTGAACTGCTGTTATGTTACTCCAGTTATGTAGAACATAATAAAATTACGTTGTATTCTGCTTGGAATTTTATTTGTGTTTGTGTCACACAGGCAGAGGTTATTAAACATGCAGTTTATGTACAAAAATTTGTGAAAGAGTATTGAAGGGGAAATCATTCCCTAGGGCGGCATGCACACGTCAGGAGCTCTTGTATGAGCCTGTGAGAGAGGGAGCTTGTTGTTTGAGTGTCAATACCCATATTTGAATTGGTAAGTTGTGTATCCGTTAGGGAGTTGAGACATTGTTACTGGAGTAATTTTGAGATTAAAGGATGTTAGCAGGGAGTTGAGACATTGTTTGTGGTAGCTTTCGGCAAGACAAGTAACTTTAAAGTCACCAGAAGTGAAAAATTATTTTTATACTTTATTCTCATAACTTTGTAGTGAAAGTTTTTATTCCAGGTATGATATATCTATATATATTCATACAGGTTGTGACCAGTAGCTAAATTGTGAGTTTGTTAAGGATTTGAGATGATTTATTGTATATGTATACTTGCCACTCTGGTCAGATTTCTGAGTTATTCTTATAAACTTTCTGTGAAGCAAAGCAGCATCTTTCAAACACTTGCCCTCAATTTAGCAAGTGCCAGGATGAGGGAGTAACATTCATATGGCTACAAGAAAGAGTTTGGCTATTTATCTAACCTTATAAGCTTCAAGCATTATTCCCTTCCAGTATTTGAACTGAACTGCTGTTATGTTACTCCAGTTATGTAGAACATAATAAAATTACGTTGTATTCTGCTTGGAATTTTATTTGTGTTTGTGTCACACAGGCAGAGGTTATTAAACATGCAGTTTATGTACAAAAATTTGTGAAAGAGTATTGAAGGGGAAATCATTCCCTAGGGCGGCATGCACACGTCAGGAGCTCTTGTATGAGCCTGTGAGAGAGGGAGCTTGTTGTTTGAGTGTCAATACCCATATTTGAATTGGTAAGTTGTGTATCCGTTTGTTTGTAGTGATCATGACAAAATTTGCCTTGTGAAAGTGGAAGGAGTGTGTCCATTGGCTGAGGTAGAAATGTTAACTGTGTGAAGAAGTAAAACTTTTTGTTCTTAGAGGAGTGTGATGCATGTACGGAGGAATCTTGATTTGTATAATGTGAATGTATTTTGTCTTTCTAGGGGTAGCGGATTACAAGAAATAGAATGTTCCTCCAGATTCTACTGGGCGGCGTGCTGTGTGTCACCTGACCTGCGTACTGCTTGCCAGAGAAGCATTGGAGTATGTGCGGCAACAGTTGGCAGACTGAGTTGATTTCAGAACAGGAAACTTACTGCCATGACTGGCGTATGTAGTTCATGTGCAGCGAGTTGGTAGCGAGGATGTTTCCATGTGGGAGTTTCGGTTTCTAGTTTGTTCTGTGATGTCTCTGGTCTGTTCTTTCCGCGCATCACGTAGTTCATTTGGGTCGGCACTATAATTCTTTGTGGCCACGTTCTTAGAGATGTGAAAGAAGACTGGCATTGGGAATATTTGTCTCGGTTGGTAGTGAGGTCGTGCTTCGGTTTAGTTAATGTTTGAATGCTAAAATGATTTTGAGTTCATAATGGCAAATATTTAGTCTCTTCAAATGCCTTAATGCAAGAATCATTGCTGTAAGTTTCTGTGTGGGAACAGTGTGCCTCTTGGGTTGTAAGTGGGTTACGGAATTATCTGGTGTTCTCATTTGTCGGTAGGTGTACAATCAACTGCAGAATAAGAGTGCTGATTCTGTATGCATTTCTGTCTTTTGTGGGGGGGTGGGGTGGAACTAGTTGTGTTGAATCTCTTATAAAATTCCAAAGTCCAATTCCAAAGACCAAAGCC